TGGATCTAACTCATGAAAAGCTTCATTTACATGCTTAAGTAAGTCATCAACATCTGAGGCCATTTTTTTTTTCTTGAAGTGATTGAATGCTCTTAAAAAAACCCAAATCAAGTATGTTTAAATCAGGACTATTTGGAGGTTGTTGAACCAAAATGAATGTGAAGCCATCCTGCATATGTACTTCTTGCCACTCAGGGTCATCTTGAGTTATGTGTGCCCTAGCATTATCTTGTTGAATGTATATTGTCCTTGAGGTGCCATCATTTGGCCATTTTGCCTTAATTGCTGGGACTATTTGATCTATGAGCATTCTTCTTGTGACTTCTTTAGTGACTTTTGCAATGGGCTTGCTTATCAATGTCCCTTTTTCCCTATTTTTTGACTTTCTTTTGGCTGCCTCTTGTGTTGTGAATGGGAAGATTCCAATCCTCCCATCAAAATAACATTCCCCCTGATCATTGTACCTTGGTTTTGCACATGCTGCTGTGAACATGAATTTTGGCCCATGACTGTTTGCTGACCCTGTTCTGTGTACACCCTTTTCATTCTTGGCAATGTAGTACCTGTGACTTTTTTTGGTTAGTTTGAACCATTTTTCATCAATATGAACAAAGTCATACATTGGGAAGTATCTTGACATTTTCCATGGTGATGAACCCATTATGAGACCAAGTATCCACTTCAGTCTAGCCAACTTGTTAGCCTCAGGGCTTAATTGCATTTGTATGTGCTTTTATATCTCCCCTCTTGATCATTCTGCCAACTGTTGATTTTGAGATATTGAGATTTGTTGCTACATCTCTAATGCATGACCTTTCACCAATCCCAAGTTTTGTAATGTCCCCTACTGGAACAGTGATTCTTTTCCTTCCAGCCAGGTGATAATTTGTGCATGGTTTGTATTTTCCCAGTGCTTGTTTCTGTTTCTTTGCTTCATTCCAAACTGAGCTGACACATTTTCGTTTGAGGTTGAAATGTTCCATGGCTGCTTTTATTGCCCGTCTTTTAATATCATCTCCCTCATGATATTTTAACAGGAAAATGAGGACATTAAATTTGTCTTCACTGTTGAGCCTGACTTGTTGATGCCTGTGATGAGTTGGTCCTTGGTTTGTTGCCTGAGCATTTGTTCTTTGTTCTTCTTGATTGGTCGCTGAATCATTGATATGTTGATTTCCTGAAGCATTATGGACATTTGCCCCTGTTTCTTCAACTGGCAGCTGATTTAAATCAAAAGAATGTCCCCTAATATTGACATCGTTTTCACCTCCATGTATTTCATCATCACTTGGCGACCAATCTTCATTCAAGTCCATTTCTGAGGCCTTCAACAACAGGCAATGATGCACAAAAGTGAATTCAAAAATTGCAATTAATTTTATGTAATTACTCCTTAAGTTGGATACTGAAACATTCCTTCCTTTATTTTTATGGCAATGCAGTGGTATTTATATGTATATGTAAGGTCATTGTGTCAGAAATTTAAACCACCTTTGAAAAGGTGAAAATATGGCGCCATATTTGTGGCTTAAAAGTTTGGCGGTTTTTTTTTCCCAGAAAACTTGTGAGATTTGTGGAGCAATCCGTGTGCTTCCAATACTGAAATGCTATTGGACCACACTCTTTCATTTTGGAATGCTATTGGTTAACAATAAATGTAAGGATCAATATCCATTGGGTAAAAAAATGACAGCTATTTTTATGATATTTTAAAGTTTTTTAAACAATGCATTAAAACAACCCCACATGGGCATTGTACTTCCAATCATTAATGTACAAGGAATCTTCTCATTTTCTTAAAAACTGTGCTTTTAAGAGTTATTTGCCTCTAATTATGGGACGGAGGGAGTACTTTATAAGTACGAGTATGATTTATATGCACAAAATATGTACAATATGAAGAATTACAGTACTTTAACAAAATAAGTGTTTTGTACTCCGTATTTTAAGCTTATACATGAGCTATTTGTTGCGCTTAACTCTTAAATTTTCGAGCTAAGTACAAAATGTTCACGAACCATTTAGGCTCATCAACATTCCTAAAAAATTATATAATTTAATTATATAGTGTGGAATTGAAAGATAAAGGTCATAAATAACTTTTCAAGTTGAAATGATGTGAAATTGAAAGTGGAAGGGCATGAAACTGGATATGGTGAAACTTATTTAAAAAAAATTAGGAAAACAAAGAGGAGACATTTGACACTCTAAATTCATTAATTTTCTTGCCATTAAATATTTGTATAGATAACATTAAGACTTGTTTAGTTTGATATGGTTTAGATTCTTGTTTGGTTGACATGATAATCATATTTCTATTAAAGATCGTATTTCATGCAAAAAATTACCATTATTAATTTTTTTTTCTGTATAGTTGTTAATTGATTAAAGCATAAATACGGTCCCTGAACTTTTGTATTTGTGCACTTGTAGTCCCTCAACTTTCATTTGTGCACTTTTAGTCCTTCAACCACCACTCTTGGTGTTTCTGACCAAAAAGTTGAGGGACCTAGCCTAGTCAGCAAAAGTTTAGAAACCATGACTCATTATTATTATTATTATTATTATTATTATTATTATTATTATTATTATTATTATGTTAGACTCTATTGAAAAAAGAATCTTTGTATTATTTATCTTTTTCTGTTTTTTGACAACATTACTTTTTTCATCAACATTATTTTTTTAAAGAGGAAGTATTTTTTTTTTGTCCACATTAATAAAAAAAATAAAAATACTTCCTCTTTTCTTCAAAAAAAAAACCTCTATTCTTATTTTTAAAAAAAAGTAAAAAAAAAAATTAATTCACCTCGTTCCTTATGCTTATTCCCTATTCTTCTCACTAAATCTAATTCAATAAGATTCTTAAAAAAAAAAAAAAAAAAAAAAATCTAATTCAATAAGAAAACCCAAAAAATCTAAAACACCAAGAAATCATGAATTAAACCCAGAAAAATTGCTTATTCTTCCATAATTTTTTTAATAGAAAAACAATAATATAAGGAAGAACATCTCTTCTTTCCGCCACACAACCTCTTTCTCCACTAACACCTCCGTCGCCGCCTCCTCCGCCGTTGAAGGCTCTCTTTCCATTACAACCACCACCATTACAACCAAGACAAGGTTTGTTTTTTTTGGGGGGGGGGGTTTAGGGTTATTCAATTATTTATTTCACCCAAGAAAATTCTTCAAAAAACAATGTACAATGGTAAGAAAATCAAGGAAGAACATCTTCCTAATTATCCTCGCCATTGTCACCTTCTTCGCCATTCTCTATGCAACCGATTGTGTGGTAATGGTGGGCAAATTCGGCGGCGATTTCAGAGGGGGAAAATAGGGTTTGTTCGTGTTTTGTTGGTGGTTGAGCTTGGCCTAGGTTTTTTTTGGGATGGGAACCATTGTCGGGGGAGAGGGGTGAGTTGGAAGCCATGGGAGAAAGGAAGAGAGAGAAAATTAAGGGGGGGGGGGGGTTAGGGAAGAGGTGGAGAGAGAGAGGAGAATAGGGGAACTAGGGAATAGGTACTACGTAATATTATTTTTTTGGTATATTTTGAAAAAAAATATTGCTTTTTTTCTTTGAAGAAAAAAAAATGACAGATTTTGTTTTTAATTGGTCACGTGTCATATAGAGGTCCCTAAACTATTGTCTATCACAACATTTGCCATGTTAGATAAAAAAATTATTTTTTAAAATAAATTCTGATCAAAAAAAAAAAAAGAGTCATCGTCCCTAAACTAATGCTGACTAGGCTAAGTCCCTAAACTATTTGAACAGAAACACCACTCAAGGTGGTTGAGGGACCAAAAGTGCACATACAGAAGTCGAGGGACTAAAAGTGCACAAATACAATAGTTTAGGGACTGTATTTGTGCTTTACTCGTAGTTAATTAAACAAGAACATTTTAAAGTATTTATAGAGTACTCATATACTTCGTATCTATACTATATATTAAAAGGCGTTCCTTTTGAAGGAACGGTGCCACTCTTCAAAGTATGCGTGCTATGTCACAATGTCATGTCATCATCCAAAGTATAGATTCAAACCTATAACCTCAAATACATATAGGTAATACATGTACCATCTCAACCAACTTTTATTAATGTTTCAAAATTCACATAATATTATATATTCCTTTCATTTATTAAGTAAATGAAAGGTAATATAATTCATTTTTTTACACAAGATTAGAATATAAATACATATGATGTTAAAAAAAAAAAAAAAAAAGTGACACCCAAGGCAACGCCCGAATCTCTACACACACTAACTATACAAATACTCGAACATATATTAAATTAAAGAAGTGTACAATCTAGCAACTCGGGGCATATAAATCAAATTTCGTATACATTATTTTTTTTTGGAAAATTTGCCAATTGCAGCCATTTAAAGTTTGTATTTTGTAAATTGCAGCCATTTAAAAAAAATTGCAAATTGCAGCCCAAAAGTTCTTATAAATCGTAAATTGCAACCCAATCCAACTTTTTCATTGATTTGCATGTCGAAAAATATTTGACTAAGGTTTTAGGGGCCATTTTATCTCTTAAGGTTTTGAATTGAGCTCGGAATTAGCAAAAAAAAAACTTAAGTACCTCGTTTTGCGTAACAAAAATGTATTGATTTGTGGGCAACTATTTTTTGCTGTAGGAATGAGGCACTTATGTTAATTTTTTGCCAATTCCGAGCTCAATTTGGTATCTGAAGGACTAAAATGGCCGCTAAAACCTTAACCGAATATTTTTTAACACGCAAATCGATAAAAAATTGAATTAGGTTGCAATTTGCAATTTATAACAACTTTTGGGCTGTAACTTGTAATTTTTTTTTAAATGGCTGCAATTTTCAAAATACTAACTTTAAATGACTGCAATTTACAAATTTTTCTATTTTTTTTTGTGTGCTGAATGCAATTAAAAAATAACCGTACGGAATATATGCAGCTGGTTATCACATGACTTAGCAATGTTAAGATACACTCTCGTATGTCGTATCAGAAAAGTCCCTAATTTGTAAAAATATTAACGCTGACCAAATATACCCCTTCTCGTCAAAAATTGGTTAAAATTCCTTGTTCAACACCCTTTATTTTTTCCTTTGCTTTCTCTTCAATTCATTCTCTCTCTACAATTCTGTTGATTATTTGAGATTGGGGCTTTTATTCCTCAGATTTTGATTTCATTTTGAAGATTTCGATAATGGCTGGTCGTTACGATCCAAACCCTTTTGAAGAAGAAGAAGTCAATCCCTTCTCTGTAAGTTTCATCACTCACAAACCCTTATCTTCGTTTTTTTTTTCTTTTGAATTTTCGCAATTTGTTGATTTTTAATCTGGGTTAAGTTTGATTGCCGCTAAAAGGGTAGTTTCTCTTTTGATTGATTGCATTTTTTGGTAATATTTGGTTTTGGGGGGTTTTTGGTTCTTGGGTATTGAGATTTATTAGATCTAGGTTGAGTATTTTATTGTTCTTACTTCAGTTGAAATCGGTGAAGTGAGTAATCCGCGTTGAGATTCTTAAAAATGTGAACTTTATGTTCACAATTAGTTAATGTATGTAAATTTTGGGTGTTTGGATTGGGGATCGTTGTTGTTTGTAATTTGTTGATTAGTGATCGATCTCAAAACATTTCGGATCATTGAACATTTTGATGCAATATTGTACCACACTGTAGGAGTGTAGGTTGGACCATGGATTGATGGTAGTTTATGGTATTTTAGCCGGCCTATCTTCGGATCCATGTCGGCATTCCACACGGATCATTGATTGTCGTGCCGTGTTCGGATGACTTTGGTGGTCGTTTAGGCTTTTGGAACTGTTTATGGTGATGAGGATAGTTTTTCTTGGCATTTTATATGGTATAATGATTTGGGGAAATGTGGCTATTTTGAAATGGTGTGATTATTATCGTGTGGTCGTATTTGGTCTGTGAGTGTTTCTCAGGCATTTAAAAAAAACGTAGAGGTACCTTATGATTAGTTTTGAGCACAAGGTGCCTAGTTGAAATTTCTACAATTTACAGGGGATTAGTGATATGACTAAAAACGTTGGTATAGGAAAGGTAAAGTTTAATTTGACTTAGATGCTTACTGTCAAAAAATTATCTTTCTATATTTTGAATCGTGCGCTGATGTTGGAAACAACCTTTGGTGCTACACTTTGTTTGATTAAAGGAAATGATTGAAATGAGAGAGAAAACATTATCACTCCAATATCGGGGAGATTTGGATGGAAATTGGAGTTTCTTTTTCCCCCTCTCTGTCTTTCCCCTTCGATTGTGCCAGTTGCATTAATAAAAGTGTTTTGGTTGATTAGATTTGTAAATTCGTGATTCAGGAAGCTAACATATATGTTGATAAATTCGTGATTCACGAAGCTAACATATATGTTGATTGGTTGGATTTGTAAATAAAGTGTAGTTATATTCTTCTTTTATTGGTTAAAAGGGGGCTTATTTAGTGTTTTTCATGATGCCTTGTTTATTACATTGGTATAATAGATTAAGTAAATCTTGTAACGTTTAGTTAAGGTGGTCACTATTTTTTTAAGTGGTTGCTACTCCTGGTTGCATTATTTGGTTGCATTCTTGTAATTAAATAACGCAGCGAACATGGTGGTGGCAGTAGAGCAATAGCTGGTTGATTCCAAGGATAGTAGTATGAGGGCTTTTTATTAAGCCATAAAAAAGGCTCTTTGCCTCATTTTTTGGACTTTTCTAAAGCTGTGGCAGATAGCATCATAGCAATCCATTAATTTTTGTTCAACTGCTTCATTATCTTTCTTATGGGTTTTTTTTCGCCTTTTCTTTCTTTTTGTCATCGTGTAAAATTGACAGGGTGTCATTAAATAAAGGGTATTAGTGTTTATTTTATAACTAGGCTTCATTGCCTTCATACCTTCACCCTGAAGTTTTGGTTGAACGAAGTTAGTTGGGGAGTATTACCGGGGCAATCTATACTGGCTCATGATAACTAAAGCTATTCCTTTGTCAACCAATGTATTCTTTTTTCTTTCAAATACAATGGTTCCTCCATATTCATTTTAGTGGGTGCCATGTATATGGAAAGAGTCTGAGAAGCTACCTGCCCAAAGGGTATTTAAACAGACAATAAAAAAAATGTCTGTTAAATGTAATTATTTTTAAAGAAGTAAAGTTTTATTAATTCTTTTTCCTAAACTGTATATCTGTGTTCCTATCTAAGAAATGATTGAAAGACTAATGTTTTAATCATCTCTAGGAACAGGAAAGGAAGGCCAAAGCTTCAGGCCAATCGAACTTCTCTGGAGGAGCCTTTTATATGCCTGTAAGTACCGTTCTTTCTTTTCAAATCAGCATATCTCATATCTCCATAATTACTTATACATATGCCGTTATTTGTCTGTCTTTAAGGCATATTGTGGGGTGATTTCAGTAAATGTGGTCCCTCAAGGACTTTTCTGACGGTATGCTTAGTTGATTACTGCAATGATTATGTTCTTTTGCTATTTTAAATGGGATGGAAAATTTCCTAGGATGTTTATTCAATCCTTATCAAGGTAGGATTCACTAAATTGATACCTAAGATGAGTCCTGTTTTATGTATAAGGGTTTAAATTGTTACTGCTAATTTATGTTTGATTCAGGCTGTATTATCGTGTCAGGTTAGCCTTTGATTTTGCCAAAAACAGAAAAACAGAAATTATATAGACTGAAATATACACACTATTTTTAAACCATGAAGTATGGTGACTACCTTTTTTTTTGTGTGGGTATATTTGCTTTGAGCATTTTCATGTGAGTGCAAAATACATTAGTAAGTAATAGTTTATTAATATATGTTACTACTAAGATGTAGCTGATGTAAGTTTAAACTATGTGTATCTTAATTTTGTGCAAATGGCCACACAATCATTGCACATAGGGATGTTAATGAGACGAGCCGAGATGGAGCTCGGGCTCAACTTAAGCTCGAAGCTTGTCGAGCCTATGAAATATTTGTAAAGCTTGTCGGCTCGGGGTTCGATTACAAATATTCGATCTAATCTCAAATTTACCTGTTTGTATTAAATTTTTTTAATCGACGAAGGAATTTCGTCAAATAAGGCCCCATATATGACAATAACCCCCAGTTGTCAAAGATAAATTTAGGTTACAAATTGTTTTATAAAAAATGACATTAATGTAAAAAAGTTTTGAGCTGGTTCAGGAGCTTTCGAGCTGAACAAAGGATATCTGGGGCTTGGCTTGTAAAAATCTTGAGCTAAACCCGAACTCGAGGCGAGCCCGCTCAAGCCGAGCATCGAGCAGTCAGCTCGTTAACACCCCTAATTGTGCATCACATACTTCTGGAGTAGCAGGCAGTGACACTCGTTGGATGTGCTGAATAATGCTACTATGAGATGATTTTGTACTGTTGTACTAATTAGTTGCTAGGAGTCCTTATCACTTCAAATAATTGATGAAAGCTTTATTTATAAATGACTGACATATGCTATTTGCTGTGTGGCTTGGTAATTGCTAAGGACATATATGAAATCATATGAACGCAAAAATGGCATTTTGTTACGACGTGATGTTTTGTTCATGTTGCTGACCCCATCATTGGGATAAGGCTTTGATGTTGTTTATTGGTTACGGATCATATTGTCTTCCATGTACCTGAAACTTGTTGGTGCTTGAGCATTAGGCACAATCATCTTTTAGAACCGAATGTGCTGCCTAGATTTTTATAATTATTTTTATTTTATGGAATTAATCTGACCTTTAGAGTTGTGTGATTGTCGATTGTCTTATCTCAAGTAGCTGACCTGTTCATTTAGTCCTTTCAGTGGTGATTATGCTTGATTCAAAAATATTCTCCTTGATGTGTAGAATCCTGGAAGTGTTCCTCCAGCCTCAAATTCAAGGCTTTCACCTCTTCCACCCGAGCCTGCTGACTTTTACAATCCTACTGCAACAGTTGATATTCCCCTTGATTCTGGAAAGGTAGCTGCAAAAAATTCCATGTTGAATGTTGTTTACTATCTTGTCACATTACGATATTTTTGTGGATGCTACTTATGAGTTATATATTAATGACCTTGACTTTTCATATAGGATTTGAAGAAGAAAGAGAAAGAACTTCAGGCAAAAGAGGCTGAATTGAGAAAGAGAGAAGAGGTAAGTTTTTGTGTTAATCTTTGCTGACACAATGGCTTTTTTTTTTCACTCTTATTGCTTGTTTGCTTGATCAACATGCCTTCACCTTTTTATTGTAATCATTTACTTGTTGGGTGCTTGTTAAGAAGTTTTGTTCTTCTTTGTTGTTCAATCCTTTGAATATAATAAAATTCCATAAGTTTCCGTATTCCCATTGTAATACACATTCATGGATGCAGTGGCCTAATGTGTATTCGTGAATTTTGTAGTGAATTTAGGCTTTTGTAGTTTTTAGTTTCTAATATCTTTGTAGTTACATTTAAAAGTCTTGTTGAATATACAGGTGCTGAAACGGAAGGAAGATGCCGCACAACGAGGTATGCTTATTGTTTAGCCCAAAGACATCCTTGCTTTTCTTTTGGTTGTTTTTTTAAAGTTGCTATGCAGTATTAAGAGTGACACTTTGGAACCAGGCTTTTTTTTATTGTAGTGCTTGACATTGCTTCTCAGGAATTCGACTGCATGTAGAGTATATAACTATTTCAATTGTTTTATTTATTACTTTTTATAGCCTTTTTTTTTTTTAATCAATTTGTGGGAGTTTTTACATTGGTAGATGTCTAGATGGTAATAAATACTGGTAATTGTACCGAGTCTATATGTAATTTTGCAAGGAACTAGGACAATCACATGGTAATGCTTTTTAACCTCTAATTATGTCTCTCTTCATTATTCTATAATACTACATCCAGTATGGTATTATGGTAAGCAGGTAATTAGTGTTAATGGAATTTTTTGTATAAGAAAAACACATTGTAGGGATAGAGTTGCAATTGCTCGGATATTGACATGTGTCTTTGCTACTAAACTTACATGCTAGTTCATCATCATAACCATCATTTATGTCCGCCTACTGAACAGAGCAACAGACCATAAAACACTTTTTTTTTGTGAATTCTGATTATTACATTCATGTTACCCATTAGTATTTTCTGCCTATTTCTGCTTACACTAGATTAATCGTACTAGTTTCCTTCTAATATATGACCTGACCAGACTTAACGTATTGTATGTGTTTTTTGGTTCAATAGTTGATGGCCACATTTACAGTTTAGATCTGATTCATACTTTCCCTTTGCAGCTGGAATTGTTATCGAGGACAAGAATTGGCCTCCATTTTTCCCAATTATCCATCACGATATTGGAAATGAGATACCAATTCATCTGCAGAAGTTACAGTACACAGCTTTTGCAACTCTGCTAGGTCTGTTCCTTTTTCCCCCCTTTTTTTACTTGTATCTTGATGTGTATTATAAGAAAGTGATTTTAAATTGTAGTAGGTCATATTAAAGGTCCAACAGATACTCTGGTAATTTTGCACTTTTTTAACCTGTACAGATCCTTTTAAAGAATAGATGATTGTCAGCGCTTTTAGTTTGTCCTATAATTCCTCTCATTTTCTTATAATATTTTATATAAGTTGGTGGATATATTCAAATTGGCCTACTTAATATGCATCTTGCTACAGGCTTTCCAAATTTGTTTAATACCATTCTGCATGACTGTTAATTGGTTTCTTTATCCTGTGTCTTCGAATTGATACTTCTTCAGATCGCTTGATCTGACATTGTTAGTGTTTGAATGTTGCAGGTTTGACACTGTGTCTCACCTGGAACATTGTAGCAGTTACTACAGCTTGGATTAAGGGTGGTGGTGAGTTACTACTTTTTGCTGTATACAAAGTATACAATTGTGGCTGTGACCCTGTGATATATTGGGCTATCTAGTCGATCTAATACATGGCTTGTTCCAGATGCAACTATATGGTTTCTTGCTATTATCTACTTTATATCGGGTGTCCCTGGTGCTTATGTGTTGTGGTATCGTCCACTTTACCGGGCCTTCAGGTACTTTATTATTCACAACTCAAGTGCTTTTTTTTTTTTTTTTTTTTTTTTTTTTATAAACATTCCGTACCTCCTTATTTGTGCAGGACTGAAAGTGCCATGAACTTTGGATGGTTCTTCTTGTTTTATCTGGTAAAGGCTCTTAGACTGTTGTACAGCTTGTTATGATTTATTTTGGAATAAACACATATTCATATCTTTTTCATTCTTTCCTTTTGCAGATTCACGTTGGCTTCTGTATTTTTTCTGCTGTTGCTCCTCCTATCGTCTTTAAAGGGAAATCCCTCGCGTAAGTGTTGTGTAAATTATTACATCTTGTGCATTTTTTTTTTGTCAGAATGTTTGTTTAACCCTTGGTTTCCTTGTAAACAGAGGAATCCTTCCAGCCATAGATCTTATTAGCAAGAATGCCTTGGTTGGGGTAAGTTTTAAATCCATATTGTTTTCGTATGACGTTATCGTTTAAAATTGATCACTTGAACCAGATTTTTTGTAAAAAAAAAAAAAACTAATAAAAAAATCGTTATAGTTTTAGGTATAGTGTGATATTATTCAGGCATTATTCTATTACTGCCTTCCCCTTTTTGGTTCTCTCCAAGGATACTTTTGAAAGTTCCATTTCAAGAGTGTTGTTAGTATTGTCAATTGTGATTGCTCTTAATATTAGAGGTGATTAATTTCTGTCAACTTATGTTTGCAGATTTTCTACTTCATTGGATTTGGACTATTCTGCCTTGAGTCGGTAATCAGCGTATGGGTTCTTCAGGTCTACCTCTTCACTCCCCTATTTCTTCACTTTCATTTCTAAAGATAACTTTAAGTAATTTTCGAGTTGCATGGAGCACTAACAGTCAAAATAATATGGATATGGCAGCAAGTATACATGTATTTCCGAGGCAGTGGCAAGGCAGCACAGATGAGGCAGGAGGCTGCAAGAGGCGCTATGAGAGCCGCATTTTGATTCCATCCAATGACTGCTGGGTGCTGATTCAGGATAGTAACTCCTTGTGTATGGTAGAGAACGAAAACCATCTTTCAGCTGCACATTTCATACGTGTTATATATATCATTGTTCCTTTATTTGTTTTTCACATTTTTCATATTAGTGGATTGTGAGAGGGTTGTTTTTTCATAAAGGTTGTAGGTACATTAATTCTGATTTGCATATTCTATAGATGATTTTTTAAAGTTATCGCGTATTTAACTGCAATGTGTACAGTAATTTTGTTTAATTTATGGTACTGGCTGCAATGTACTCGGTACGTGTACATATACTTTTTTTTGACGGGGTGTGTACGTATACTTGCGCGTCTTTGGTAGTGAAATTACCAACTTTCTGTATAATATATGACTTGAACTTGAGCTTGTTTCCAGCCGAATCCAAATTGTACTTTAAATACGTGATTGGGACCTAAACTGAAAATGATCCTACTTGATGAGACAAGGGCCCAAAGTAATTGTGACCGTCATTATTAGCTTATTATTTGAATTGGTTGACATTAGATTTGAATGTGACCCTATCCGAATTGCATGACTGATAACTATCAAAAATAATCTAAATCGAATTTAATCAATCATACAGGTCTGCAACTGTTTGAGAACAATATGTGACGGGCTAGTGTGTAAACTGTAAATGCCTGAAGTTGGTGGTAATAGAGGTTTAACCTGTATCATGACTGGGAAGTGTATCAATTAAACCGGAACACTTTGACAAACATCGATCGCGACGTTAAATTTTAATTCATCATAATTCATGCATATATGCTCTCACGGTCTTTGAAGCTGCATTCGAGTCATCAACTATATATGAAGCTTACCTCTTTAAAGATGATCGTTACGCTCTTATAAACTAGGACGGTTATTTAAGCTTACCACCTCATCTTATCGCCGTCCGTCCTATACCACGGAACTGATGCAAAATCCCAAGCTTATTGGTGCTCTTTACAACCCGTTTTACCTCGATACAACACCGGGTGAAAAGGAACTGAAATTAATAAGTTAACTAAGATTGAAAAGGCAGTAGTAGACTAGTACTCCGTTATTTGATATTAAGTTACAGTATATAAATTGAATACTCCAGATTAGATTATGTATATACAATATAGTAGTATAATACTTTTTGTATACAAAGGAGTGGTACATGCAAAATGCAATCGTCAAAGAGGCAAAGATATATTATCCACCTATTTACTCTCACTAAAGTTTTAACAATTTAGCCAATACATTTCTTCTTGCAGTCTATCATATCGTGCAACCATCATCCTATTAATTAACAAAGGAAGTGTTCAACACAAAATGGATCCACCTTAGAAACTAATAATAATGAAAAAAAAAAGAAATTATATAGAAAAAGGATGTATACAAGCTGAAGGAAACATTAAGGCGGCAGTAACACATTTTGCATTTTTACGGATAATGAATTGTACAACAATTAATGTTACGTATTCTAATTTCTAAGAAGTAACATATAAACAAGTTTCAAATTTCAATAATGTACTTGAACTCCTTAAAGATCTAGTAAAACTCGTCTCCCACTCTCCCCTACCTTTAAGACCAAACTTGCTTGGTAGAGTTGGTGAGGATTCGTCTCCCTCTCACTCTAATTAAGCATTGACATACATATATATGAATTGATTTAACATGTGAGAAGTGCTAATTTAATAAGGTCCTTAATCTTAAGAAAGAAAAAAAAAAAAAAAAAAAAAAAAAAAACTCCCCTACCTTTATGGGTTTATACTTAACACATTATTACTAAACCACGTAAATGTGTTTTTCTTATATAGTATTAATATTAGTATTCCGTAGTATTATAATAGCAAGTTGAACACCGTACCCACCCACCCACCCACAAGTCCACAACCGCTACATTGCTTTGCCTCACAGCCCCGGTACTGGTGCCCGGGCACACCGGCTCGAGCCTCAAACCAAACAACACCCAAAAGCAAGAGGATATAGCCTCTCTTTATTCCACCAGTACCATATATATTACATCCCACAACATCAAAGCAAAGCAAACACAAAAAGCAAGAGAAAAAACCTCACAAACCACTAATACTAATGACAAAACCACAATAATACAAAACATCATAAGTATATAACTACATATAAATTATAAAAGTCCTACTATTTACTCATATAAAAGTAACATAATAGGAACTAATTAGTAATACCATATAACAAAAGCCTTAAATAAGATCACATACCATATACTATATTGTCCACATATATATATTTATAGTAGTAGTTGTTATATCATCAAAGATATAATCAACCACTTAATTAATTTTCCCACTCAGAAAATTAAAGCTTAACAATAAGCACTACATTTCTTCTTGCAATCCATAGTGCAACCACCACCTCCACCACCACCTCCATAACCCTTGCCAGACCTACTAAAGGAGTAAAAACACTTTGCAGGGCACGTTAGTTTCTTCATGTAACAAGGCCCCTTTTCCTTGCACACCACACTAGGCCTTACGGTCCCACTCTTTCCGTGGCCCCCGCTCGGGGTTCCATATCCGTATCCGTACCCGCCTCCGCCCCCGAACATACCCGGGTCGTTGAATCCGGGTATTCCGAACCCACCACCCGGCCCGAAGAAGTCGCCCCCGTTGCCGTGACCCTTGGCCTTGCCCCCCTTGGAAGTCGGGTCGGGCCGGGTGGCCCGGGTTAAGGAGGTGAGGGTTGTGATGATGAGGAGAGTAAGGAGGAGGCTTGCTTTTGTTGGTTTGATGATGTTCATGGTGTTTTTTTTTTTTTTTTTTTGGGTTTTGATGATTTGTTTGTTGTTATGTGATTAGATATTTAGATGTGTGAAGATATGGACTAAGGTGAGAAGGGTGTGAAGATGTGTATTTATAAAGAAAGAGAGAGCATTTAAGAGAGCAAGTGAGGGGCAGTTGGGTCACTTGAGTGTGTGTGCATGAAAATTAAAAAAACTTTTATGTGTACGCATTTTCAATTATCATTTACTTTCTCTTTCGTTTCCCGTTTGATGTTTTTAGTTGGAATGTCTTGATCAAAGAGCTTAAATTTTGATTACAAGTACTCAATGATTATATAATAATATTGAAAATATGTTATGTAGTGTTTATGTAACAAATTAATCCATTTTGAAAAAAATTAAGCGTCAAACACTTGAGTTTTTGAGCGATGACAAAAGGATAAAAAGCGAAGGCTTTTGAAAACAATTTTTTGTTTTGGCAATAAAAAACGAATTTTAAAATGATGTAAGAATTTAAAAAATAAAGCAGGTGTTCTATTTTTATGAATTTTAAATAGTTTTTACGAGAAATTAATTATAAAAATTTAATTTAAAAGAATAAAGCGGCATTTTTTTTTGACGGGATGAATAAAGCGGCAATTATTATAATTGAATTGAATTAAATGATGTAGGGATTAGTTTAAAGTTGCAATTACTCAAGAAATTAATCATAAAAATTCAATTTCACAGAATTATAATTGAATCGAATTAAATGATATAGAAATTAGTTTAAAGTCGTAATTACTCACAGATTATTATAGATAGAAATATTAGTTAAATCACCATATAAATTTCAAAAGAGGCAATTAGTGCTAGTCGATTAACATATGTGGTACACATGGGCAACTTAGGTATGGGGTATTAGATTTAAATTAAAAAAAAAAAAAAAAAAAAAAAAAGGAGTAGGTTGGATGACATTAATCATGGTTATAAAGAGCACTAGCAATTGTGGTAATCTGAGCAGACAGGGTTGCTTTGATTGCATGTAGGCGTGGAAATTTTAGAGGTGCCCAAAATCCTTCATCTTCATTTATATTTTTAGGGTGGGACCCACATATATGGTGGATAAAAAAGGGGCAAAATTGATTGAGCTCACTATCTATCATCCGAAATAGGAAATTGGTGGAAAGCCAAATCCAATGGAACTTTGTGGTACACTATACACTTGGAACTTCTTTGGTCAAAATAGTTTATAAAGTTGGTGGTTTTTTATTAATGGTTATCATTTTTTTTTTTTACTTTATTTATTTATTTATTTTTATTATGTGTTAGGCAATTGGCAATTTGGCATGTACTTTTTCCGTGTTGTTTGGAGTGCTAACTCTTTTATGGTTTTAAGGTCATATATATATAGTGAAATAGATAAGAAGATTAACATAACATTATGACAAATTAAACAATATACATTAATACATACATCAATAGTCTTAAATTATAGAAGACTAAAAACTTAAAGAGTGTACAAGTAAAAGAGTGTGTGGCATGACAACCACACCCGTACGATCTATTCATGTGCACAAATGATGTCATGTGCTAGTAATGTGCAACGTGCGCACGCACATAATATGTGCTGTTTGCACTAGCATGGAAGCACCATCTACAATGTTTTCGATGCGAGAATGTAGATGGTATGATGTATTGATATGCTTCATATATGTTAATTGGAGTCGAGTACAAACTTTAGCAGTTCGCAATATAACGAAAAAGAAGAATAAGTATGGTATATTAAGATACATGAGTGTGGATTTTAGAATTTTTTAGACATATAAGATTAACTAATAAATCAATAGAGTTGTAGAATATTATTACGCCTTATGAGTGTTGATTTCTATGACATTATTGTACGTATTATGCTTATTTATTCTCTATATGCTATCCATCACCGTACCATTTTAAGTTACAATTTTTAGACACTGTTCTTTAAAACTGAATTAATCTGATTACAATATTTTTCTAGTGGAGGAATTTTTATTTATTTTTTCATCAAATAATTTTAGCTTTACAAATTGATAAACCATAAAGCAGTAAGCAAAAGACAAGTAAGAATAGTAAAAGACAATAGTAGAATGCATTAAACGAAAGGAAAAAACAAAGGAACTTGACAAAAATAGAAAGAATAATAGAAGGGAACAAAGGGAAATTTTCGATGTAGAGTACTGCCAGAAGTGAACACAAACCCTTTAAACAGCACTTTCAAACACACTTGCGCAAGAGGGTATGGTAGGCCAACTAAAGCTCCAGTATATAGTCAATCTTGTGTACTTAATAAAGATTTATACTATACTACGATTTTTAAATGTATAGGATGAGCCATGGCCTAGATAGCCCTTCGAGTTTTAACCATGTATGTGTAGGTAGAGATACTGTAAAATCATAAAATATAAAGATTATTGAAATGTGGGTCGAATTTGTTTAATGTATGAATAACGATGTGACGTGTAAGGAACACTGTCTTAGAAGTAAAATTCGCCCCGACTATAGTGCAATCGGAGATGGCGTTGCCCCCTAAGACTTAACACAACGATCTCTCTTAATGTGCACTCAAAAAGAGAGATTAGGAACACACAATATGCTCAGAACTAATTTAGAGGAAAATTTGAAGAAGAAGAAAGTGTTTATGTGTGTTTCAAAAGCCACGAAAAGATCAGTTTTTAAAGATGAACGAGTTAGACGTTGTTGCGGGCTTCACCACGCATGTGCCACGAATCGGCCGGACGGCGACAACGACGCGTGTGTGGGGATGCCCCTTCTAGCCCACAACCAGGGCCGTCCCAAAGTATACGAAGGTCCTGTGCGATTAAAACTAAATGGGACCCTCATTCAATTTATAGTACTCCGTATAAAATTAAATGTAACTTTTCAATAATCACCATAACTAGCAAATTGTGGATGATATATCTAGTTTGTTAATGTTTTTAAGGGTTGATATCCAAAGAATAAGATCAAATCGTCTCTCTCTCTCTCTTTTTTTTTTTTGGATCTTATTAGTCTAGCAAATAGGATTATGTGCTTTTTTTTTTTCTTAAGATTTCCTTATTCATACTTTTTGCTGATATGTTTTCTTTGATTTTGATTCAATGTATTTGTTAGATGTGTATGATTTTGGAGTGTTGCTTATTGGTGATGAGATAGTAGGATGAAGAATTTTTAAATCTTAGCAGACATTTAATATTGTGTCATTTGTGAATAAGTAAACCAAGTGTACCACCCACAAAAAAAAAATAATAAATAAATAAATAGTGAAGCTTACTATCAACGAACCTTGAACCTTCAAACCTGCTTGAAGGTATGCTTCAGCATCTGACCATTGAGCTACACACGAAGATCCTCAAAAACAATGCTATTTAATTTATTATATTCTTAAATTGGTTTGAGACCCTTATTAACCTTTGGGCCCTTCCTTATAGATAATAATCATTATATGTATAACTCGTGATGATCGAACCAAAAATGTATGTGCGAATGCTCCTTATATAGCAGATGGCACTACACTCCAAAACATCTCTATTAACAATAATTGCCGCTTTATTATTTAGATTATCATTCACCGTAATCTACTCTCACAAGCCAATCGTACAACTGAAGTCAAACTCGTAAGACATATTTGTTATTGACGCGAAAGTTTTGTTTAGTTGTGTACCTTAAAATTTCTATGTGTAAATTTAACATTACTAGCTACTCCCTTCGTTATTATTTGTTAGTTATGTTTGGTATCTTTTTGTGAGAGAAAAATAATCAAAGTGTAACTAACAAAAGGAACTGAATGAGTAGTTTACTATGAATTTTTTTATACATGACATATACGGAGTACTTTGTAAGTTAGTTCTTGCAATTAGGATCATGCAATTATCACAAATATGATAATGCTGAAATAATATCTAGCTGGGAACTAATGAAAAGAACAATAAAATAAATCTTAGAAAAATAACGCACATGTGAATTAAGTATTAATTATAATCTTATAGTCATCATAGCAAGGGTGCGTGCATAAATGTGTGTCATCATGCATCACAGTCACAGATTCAGTGTTGTAACATGTTAACCTATTTCATTGCGACTACGACGGCGACGGTACGTGTCCACACAAATCCACACAAATCGCCTTTGAGGCTTTGAACTCCCACCGTCGTCAAGCCCTGTGCTTAAACATTTATTCAAGTCGAACCATCTCCCCAAACCCAACTGTAGTATCATCAATTTGGTCAAGAAGTTGATAGCTAAAACAAATGTTATTGTCTAAGCTGTCTGTCGTCCTTATGTCCTAGGTACGGTTTTTTGGCATAGATTTTTCTTTATTCAACTACCAAAATTACTTACACAAACATGGTAATCAATTATTCGTCACCTATTATTATCACTACAATGCATGGACTATTGTCTTTCAATCAGCCATCGCTAGTTTGATTTTGACCAATGTTGAAGTTTAATACCTAAAATAATAGTCATGTAAGGATTTGTTAATATTGTCTGTTTATTTTAGAGGAGATTTTTTTAGTTTTGTCTCAATGTATAGAATCCGAACAATATTAACATTTTATAAGCATACTTGATGATCATTAAAGAATTACAGAGTATTTTTATGTTGACACATCTGTAATCGATCTATCTATCAGTTAAAATGATGCACTTAAAAAAGCAAACAGAGAAGTGTTGAACACCCGTTAACACATAACCCGATAACCGTACTTATGGTGTAAGCCAAGTATTAAAAGGGATTGATAAGAGATTCAGCTAGCTAAGCTACATGAATATCAATAATAACATTAAATGCAAAACAAGGGTAGATAGTAAGATAAATGTTAGGTGATGAGAAGCAATTACTTCATGATCTGGCCATCCTAATCTAAGAAAAATTCCCAAATGGCCCTCTCTTTTCATTTGTCAATTCATTATCATAATAATTTAATTTATGGTGTTTTAAAAAGTCAATATCTTGAGATCTTTGTCAAATTTTCTGTGTATGCACAACATTCTTGGGCGATGATTAATATGGGTAGGCAGTAGGCACCCCCAATCTCCTGCTTAAATATCTCCTTAAGATGTACTCCTATGTATATATTATAAAAATATTGTAATAATTGACGG